TTCACATTTTTAGGTTTGAAACGTTTCATTATTTTGCTATATTTTCTCCCAATTACACATTCATTGCACAAGAAAACACAAAAATAGCATGAGTGCCACATACACAGTCCTCTCTGGCATTCGCATTCTCAGTAGAGGACTATGGACAGTCCTAGGTTTCTATCTGCCTTCTGATCTCCCTAGGGAAGGTCACATTCAATCCACTTGTATCATTACGTACTGAAGTGTTGGCAGGCTTGAGCAGGGAAATAAATTGCACTTAGGGTTTCTATTTTTGAGAGCTGGTAAAGCAATGCCAACTATCTTAAAAGGGGAACACGTAAAACCAGAAGATGTTGGGAACGGGTGGATTCCTTAAGGTGCTGGGAGACTCATTAGCATGACAAGCATTTTGTACCTTTATTAGGAGACAAGCAGGTACTCAGGGAGTGGAGAAACACAAAGAGATCCCAGCTAAAGGGAGCATTCTTTAATATCCAGGGTAATCACGTGAGACCACAAAAATTAAAGGAGGAAAATCCCTGAGAGTCACTACCCCACAGACAACTGGGAACAGAACGTTGTTTTCTTGCATGTTCTCCGAGGGCCAACCTGGGAAGGGGTGGACTGTCTTTGCTCCTTCTCAACCCCCCGAGCACCAAGGTCGGGCTTCACCCTTTGCCATCCTACTTTGGGACAAGGGCATATTTATATTTCTAGTCCTTTCTCTTGAGCTGCAGCTGCTCTGGCTGGTGGGATTTTCACTTGGGCGCCCTCTAGTTTGCTCACTTTAACTCCTTCCATGACTTCTCGAAACCTGGAACCAGTTTTTAAATAGAATTTTTAAAATAGGTAACACAGTCACATTTTTTTTTAATGTTATGCATGAAAAATTTCCTCTTTTCTTTCCCCATGGAGTCAATTCCAGCCACTTGCAAGAAATTTCAAGTTTCTTCACCCGCATACAAATATGAATATAACTTTCCTTCCTTTTTATTCACAAGGGATTATATTCTTCACGCTTTTCTGAACCATGTGTTCCACTGGTGTGTAACAATACCTCTACACACAGTGCCTTAAAACAATTCTGATTCTCCCTCATAGTTTGGTGAGTTGATAGGACTCTGCTAGCTGTCCGTACTTGTACTGAGTTCTCACCTGTGCATGGTTGCAGTCAGACACTGGTTGGCACAGGAGCTATACGAAGGCCTGGCTGGACCCGGTGTTGGATGGAAGCTCAGCTGCCAGAGCACCTTTGCATGAATTTTCCATGTGTCCTGGGCTTCTCCCAGTAGGAAGCTGGGTTCCAGGTGGGAGCCTTCAAGGATCGAGCATTCCAAGAACGCAGGAAGTGAAAGCTACCAGGACAATAAAGACTGCTTACAGCACTGGCATTATTACCTCTGCTATATTCCATTGGCCAAGGTAGCCAGAGGGCCTGCCCAAGTTCTAGGGGATGGAGAAATAAACCTTGTGTCTTCAAGAGAGTGAGTGGCAAGATCATATTAGGAAGCTCTTGGGGATAGGAATATAGTGTTGGCCATCTTTTTAAAAAAATATATTTTATTGATTTTTTACAGAGAGGAAGGGAGAGAGATAGTTAGAAACATCAATGAGAGAGAAATATCAATTAACTGCCTCCTCCAACCCCCCTCCTGGGGACATGCCCGCAATCAAGGTATGTGCCCTTGACCAGAATTAAACCTGGGACCTTTCAGTCTGCAGGCTGATGCTCTATTCCCTGAGCCAGACCAGTTTCGGCTGTTGGACACCTTTGTAAAATAAAATATTCAGCACCATCTGAAGTCCTGTTCTACTCCTCCAAACACACGTGCCAGAAGCCGAAGGTACTTCCTTTTGTAAAATCTAACATCTAAACTCCCCCTGTTGCCATTGACTCCCCTATTTCAGACCTTCATCTCTTTGTAGCTAGTTAATTGTCAGACTTTCCTTCCTGGTCTCCAATATCCCTTCACTGCCAACAGCCAATAAAACTTGTATTTTCTTACACAGGTATTTCCATAAAATCTAGCTTTGATGATGTCCTAAGTAAAAATTGGCTCAAGTACTACAGTGGGTTTGTTTGATCTGTGTGATGTTGGCATATATAATATTTACTTTTTCTTTTCTTTTAACTTCAGCATCGAAAAATCCAGATTAGGCTCCTTTTGAAAAATTGGGTTCTCATATGTGGAAATTCAATTACTCAACTTTAATATGTTCTAGATACTGAACAAAAGAAAAAATATTGGTCCCTGTGGAGAGATAGACAATGGACAAATGAATAGGTAAAAGATATAGAATGTTGTAAGGCAATAGGCTCTGTGGAGGGGCAGGAAGGGGACAGTAAAGGAATGGGTGGGGGCCTTGGCTGATTTGGCTCAGTGGATAGAGTTTGACTGTGGACTGAAGGGTCCTGGGTTCGATTCCAGTCAAGGACACATGCCCAGGTTTCAGGCTCGATCCCGGGGATGGGGGAGTGGGTGGGGGGATGGGGAGGGAGCATATAGAAGGCAGCCAATCAATGATTCTCTCTCATCATTGATGTTTCTTTTTTCTCTTCCTCTGCCTTCCTCTCTGAATTCAATAAAAATATATTTAAAAAAAAAAGTGGGTGGGGAAGGCTGCAATTTTAAGTCACACGTCATGGAAGGCATCACTAAAATGAGGTATTAAGTTAAAAAACTTGAGTAGAGAAAGGGTAATATGAATTTCCAGAATGTTCTTTTCCAATAGAGTAGCCTGTAGTCATATGTGACCATCTAAATGTATATTAATTCAAATTAAATGAAAAGTGTTTAGGTTTTTTAGGCACACTAGTCACATTTCAAGTGGCTAGTGGCTACAAAACAGATACAAACATGCCCACTGTTGCAAAAGTTCTACTGAACAGCATTGCAGAGAAAGAGTATTCCAGGCTGAGGGTACGGCAAGTGCAAAGGTCCTGGGTGGACGCTGATTGACTTAAGCTAAATAGTGGCATGGCTCTTCTGTTTACTCATTCCAGCTATCCTCTGTTGCCTGCCGTATACTGTGACTGAATAGCAATTTTCATTTTTTAACCATAATTCAAGCCAACTTTCCGAAGGCCTTTATTGAGAGTGAGTCTTAGGCCCTTGGTCAATGCCATAGAAGCTACAGGAAGAAGTCTGAGCCCCCTGGTCTTGCATTGAGAAGCTGTGTGAAAGACAGCAAAGACCAAGAATCAGGAGTAGGGGGCAGACACGTGTGCAGAGGAGGTTTATGGTGTGATTCGAAAGGCTTCATCGGGAAGGAAATGGCACAAGCGCCCACTAATCAGAGTGAATACTCACCGAAAACGGCTTGGGGACCCTCTAATAGACCAGGCCTACTGGGCCTTTAGTTGGTCTGTCAGGAGGAAGTCTGGAGGATGGGATGACATTCTGGGGCTCAAGGCAATGACTGATTTCCAACTGGAGCTGAAGTATTTCTACATTACATCAACTGGTCAGTCTTACAAGGTGTGCACAAGTGGTATTTCAGCCTTGAATAAATGTAATAGGTATTTGGAATCCAATGGACTACTCAGTTTATTGCAGAGTTTTTCCCACACAGCTTATGGTGACAGGATTGATGGGCTGTGCAGTGCCACCAGCACCCATTCTGATATTTCCCCCATGATGTTATGGGTCCCTCTCTCCCGCCAATATGTCACAAGCAGTGCTTAAATAGGTTCCAGCATTGTTCTCATGATTTTCTGCGTTACTAGAAGGACCCTCCCTGCTTTCTGCCCGGTTGAACCTTCCCCACTCAGCTTTCAGGCACAGTTTGAAGGGCCTTCATTGACGTTGCTTTGCCCACCCTAGGCCAGAAGCATTTCTCGCTCCCGTGGCTTGGAATCCGCATTAGCCACACTCACTTGGCAATTACCAAGAGTACAAGGCAACCCTTTGTTTTTCTTTATGTTTATTTTCCCTCCTGGCCAAATCTAAGTTCTTTGCAGTCAAAGGTCACAGGTCATGCTTCCTTTCTCCTGACATGGCCACATTTCCATGCATCTGCCCGTGAGCGGTTAAGGGTACACAGCAAACCAACCCAGGGCCCTGACTTCTTGCACTCCTTATCTGCCCACGTTATTTATTTATGCTTTTAATGTGAGTAAGCTTATTCGATTCGTACACATCTTGGGCCCTCACTGGCCTTTGTTGAAAGCCCTGCTGGAGGCTTCCTCCTAGGGCTCACTCTGCTGGCCCGTGGAGCGGTGTAAACAATGATTCACACCGCGCTGGCCTCCACAGTTCACCTAGCACATTCATCACGGCACCAGGCTCTCAGGGACGTCAGGTTCCAACACGTCCTCAGAGATTCACCTTCGGGTCACTAGACTCGCACCTATTTTCCTAAACACCTATCATAACAAACCAGGTTTTCTCCCCTCCTCTTTCCCAGCCAAATGTGCCAAAGAGGGGACAGGGTGGTGGGGGCCATGCCTTCTCCATGGCGTTTGGCTTGTGGCGGAAGCACAGAGCCTATTTTGAAGATCTTGGGCGCAAAGCTTTTCTAGGAATAGCGATTGTGATTTTGGGGGCCGGGCTGTGCAAAAAGCTTGCAGGGTTCACGGGGAGGGCGTGTCTCAGACTTCCCTGACACTTGATCAAAAGTCCAAGTCCGCCCTGGCTGTTAGGGAAAAGGGGGATTTCAGCCCAAAGGGAACTGGAGTTGGGGGTGGGCAGTGAGTGGGTTCGGTGGAGGATTCTGGGAAGCCCGCGTCTATGGATGAGACGGTGTCCAGGGTGTCCTACCCTTTCTCTCTTGGGTTCCTGGAGCGGCTGAGGGGTCCGGAACCTCAGGCGAAGGTGAGCCCCGGAGGGGCGGGACGGGGCGGGGCGGGGCGGGGCGGCGCACCTGGGCGGGGAGGGGAGGCGCGGGCTGAGCCCGGCAGGGGCCCGGCGCGCGCCTATGGGCCGCGGCTGGCAGCGCCCCGCGCCCCGCCGCAGTCGCGCCCTCTCGCTGCCGGGAGAAGCCACGGGAGCTGCGGGCGCCGCGGCCGCCGCCGGGGCATGAGGATGGCCGTGGGCTCCGTCAAGATGCAGCCGCCGCCGTGCGAGAGCCCGGCGCTGGCCCGGGCGGTGGCGGCGGCGGCGGCGGACAGCGCCCTGCGCCGCAGCCCCAGCGCCCGCGAGCCCGAGCCCGAGCCCGAGCCCGAGCAGCCGGCCGCCCCGCCGCGGCCGCGGCTGCGGGACCTGCCGGCGCTGCTGCGGAGCGGGCTCACGCTGCGGAGGAAGCGGAGCGTCGGCGGCGGCGGCCGGGTGAGTGGCCGGCCGGGTCCGGCCCGAGGGGGCGAGGGCGGCGCGCACGTGGTGCCCGCGCCCACCCTGGGGAGGCTCCGGGGGCGTCTGGAAGTTGGGGGGGGGTGGTGGTGGCGGCGGAAGGAGCCACCGTGTGCGGGAGTGGGCCGGAGGGGTCCTGGGACTGGCCGGAGAGGTCGTAGGGGGCCCCGGTGAGCGGCGGTTCCCCTCCCCCCAGATGCACCTGACCTTACCAAGCACCTGGATCCCCGCTGCCGCCGGAGGAGGGCTGAAGCCTCTCCCCACCGGAGGCTGCAGGTGTCCGGTGCCTGACAGCGGCGGCCCCTCCGACCGGACAGCAGCATCGGGGCCCACGTGCGGGGCCCCAGCTTGCAGCGGGCTGGAGACGTGTGCGCTTGTTTGGGACGCCCTGTTGCAGCTCTGGTTCTGGCTGCCAGGGGGGGAACGGGGGGAGACGACGACGACCCTGGACTGGGAAGTTACCAGTTACCAAAGGAGCTGCCAGCCCAGTCTCCAGCTCCTAGCGCCTGGCGACGCCCCCTTGAACAGGAGGGTGCACACCCCTCCCCCCAAATCTTAAATTTTAATACTTTCTGACGGTGTGTTCAGATAGGAGTGTGTGTGTGTGTGTGTGTGTGTGTGTGTGTGTGTGTGTGTATGTCTCTCGTTGGGTTTTAAGAGCATCTAATGGCTCAAGCAGGTCCGACAGTCAGACATGTTTTGTGCGTGAGAGAAGCAACGGCCTGTTGACCTCATGGCGTCTCCCACCGGCCACTCAGGTCTCCCTGCTCACCACGGCCTCTGGGCACTGTCGTGGGTTCTACTCAGTCTTTTTTAAAAAAATATGTCATTATGAATCAGGCTTTACTGAGAAGCTGCAACAAGGTAGTTTGGGGGCCAGGACTTAACAAATGAAGGGGTGGTTGTCTGCCTCTGGAAGAAAGACATCGGTGGGCACGTAGCTCTTGCAAAGGTGGACCTGTGGAAGCTTGGGAGCCAGGAGAAGCACGTTTGCTGTGGCTGCCTGTGGGTAGAGGAGGGTCCGAATTCACCAAGGTCTCCAACCTTTCTAGGCTGCTCTGTCTTTCTTAGGCATTTTCTTTCCCACATGGGGATGGCTGTACAGGATCTGCCTCAGAAGGATGTTCTGAGGATTAGCTGGGCGGAGGAGGGTCTCTTGAAGTTCATGACCAGGGGCATTTTTTTGAATATATATATAGAGAGGAAGGGAGAGGGACAGATAGAAACATCAATGATGAGAGCAAATCACTGATTGGTTACCTCCTGCACGCCCCACACTGGGGATCATGCCCACATCCCCGAGGCATGTGCCCTGGTTCATAGGTTAGCAGTCAACCACTGAACTATGCTGGCCAGGCTGAGCAGGGGAGTTTAAGAACTGCCCACAAGTGACCTCCCGGGTGACAGAGGGGATTGCCTGCAAAGAATTCGAGGAACTGTGCCCCAAAGAAGTGACAAGAACCAAGCTGTGGGCTTTGCGGGAATCCAGGGAAAAGTAGGTCAGATGGCACTCGTGTTATCCTGACAGTTACTTCTCTGTGGCACAGCGCACACACACGCGAGCAGCCAGGCAGGCTGGGGAGGCAATGCCAGGCTCCGGTGTAAACAGGTCTCAGTGTTTGTCTGCACGCAGGCAGTGGCTCCTGCCACCTGGGGTGATGCTGTGGGCCTCACCGATATGCAAGTTTACGCTTATCTTCCCAATGATTCTGAATATGGTTGCTTCAAATAATGTATACTTTATCAACCCTTCTTCAGTTCTAATACTGTATTCTCTCTGAGACATTCCAAACACATTTCAAAGGTGCACTGCTAGTTTCTTATTGGGGGAAGATTGTCAATTTTTTCCATGGTTGGAAACTCATACTTTTCCCTAGTCTTCCCCTCTCGTGGCTTTGGAATTTGGAACCTTCCATAACAAAAGTGTAGGAATTTGAAATAAAGAAGAACGGGTGAAATGTCTAACTGTATTAATCTGCTCAGGCTGTCATAACCACATGCCTAGACTGGGTGGCTTAAGCAGCAGAAATGTATTTTCTCCCAGTGCAGGATGCTGGGAAGTCCAAGACCGAGGTGCCGCTGATTTGGTTTCTGGTCAGAGCTCTCTTCATAGGCTTGTCGATAGCTGCCTTCTCCCTGCATCCTCACATGGCCATTCCTCATGCACACGGAGAGAGAATCCCTCTCTTCCTTTTCTTCTAAGCCCACTAATTCCATCACAGAGGCCCCACCCTCATGACCTCGTCTCACCCCCGCCCCGCCAGGCTCCATCTCCAAATACCATCACATTGGATTTAGGTCTTCACGTTAGGGACTTTGAGGAGACACAAACATTCAGTCCATAGCAGAAGTGCTTTGAAGAACTTTATGTACCAAACGAGTTGGTGACTTGTGAGCATCTGGGGTAATTTGATTAGTTCCTTGGTTAGGGCAGTGAGGCTAATGGATAGATCTTCTTTGGACCTTTTGTATCTCAGGGGCTGCACCTCCAGATCACAGCTGAGTGATTATATGGACACGTTAACATGAAATGATTACCCCTGGTTTAAAAAAAAATCAAAAGCAACTCTGTGCCTTGCACAAATTGGTATGAAAGTTTGCAATTTCTACATTGACCAAGATCTCTTTGAGGATCTGGTAACTTTTGTCCATACTGCCTTGGGCTCTCACAAATCTGATAGCAACCATCACCCTGTAAGTTCTTCGGGGGTTGTGTTGCCCAACCAGAATGCCTTGTAGGCCATCTCTTCCTGGCAAAATCAAGCTGACATTTGGTTGACGCTGCAGGACCCCAGGGCTCCTGGGTGCAGTAACTTCTAATCATATCGGATTCCAAGTGCACACAGATGAAGGCTCTTTGCACCTCTTTAGGCTAAGTGGGGAATGACTAAATTTGACCTGTGGGAGGACCCTCGCTACTGCTTAAAAATTAGTGGTAAGATAAGGCACAGCTTGAATTCTCACCAAAACCCTTTTTTTCATTTGTTGAGATTATGAGAAATTAGTATAATAAGCACCGAGGCTTCAACAGTTATTAACATTTGCTCGTCTTGTTTCATTTATTTCCTCTTTCTCCACTTTGTGTGTGTGTGTGTGTGTGTGTGTGTGTGTGTGTGTGTGTGTGGAGGCTGGTATGTTTTAAGGTAAAATCTAAACCATCATGTCATCTCACTCAAATGTTTCAGTTTACATCACTGATAAGGACTTTTTTCTTTTAAAGAAACAACTTTCTAATGCCTTTTTACACACAGAAATGTTAACAATAATCCTTAATATAATTTCCATATTCACATTTTCTTTTACTTATGATTTGTTGGAATTAGGAACAAAATAAGGTCCTTAGGCTTTGAAATCTACTTTATTAGTCGTCCCCTACCCTCTGCCTCGTCTTTCTTGCTATTGATTTGTTGGGGAGAGTGGGTCATTTTTCCAGTAGAATGTCCTATTGTCTGGGCTGATTTCCTACCATGGTGTTGTTTTACTTGTTTCTCTATTCCCCCTGTCTCCTGTAAGCTGGCAGTTAGGTGTAAAGGCTTGATTATATCTAAGTTCAAAGGCAAGAATCCTTTGTAGGTGGTGCTACTTAAAAATCAATTGCATCACATCACAAGATGCATGATGTCTTGATGTTTTTTTTTGGAGTTTTTTTTTGAGATGTTAAGATTGATTAGTGGGTTGAGGTAGAGTCAACTTACCTTTTGACCTTTCACCTAATAATTTTAGCATAATAGATAATTGTAGCCTAGATCTAAATCTATGATTCCTCTTTTAAAAATGTTTATCGTTTTTATTGAGATGTAGTTGACATATAACATTATATTAATTTCAGGTGTACAACATAACGGTTCAATATTTGTAGATACTGTGAAATGGTCACCACAATAAGTCTAGTAAACATCCATTACTACACATAGTTGCAGAATTTTTTTTCTTGTGATGAGAACTTTTAAGATTTACTCCCTTAGAAACCTTCAAATATGCAATACAATATTATTAACAATAACCTATAGGCTGTATATCATATCCCCTGACACTTATTTTTATAACTAGAAGTTTGCACCTTTGACTTTCTTCACCCATTTTGCTCACCCCACATGCGCCCTCCAAACCTCCACCTCTGGCAACCAACAGTTTGTTCTCTGTGTGTGAGGTTGTGTGGTGTGTGTGTGGTTGTGTGTATGTCTTTTAGATTCCACATATAAATGAGATCATATGTCTCTGTCTGTCTGACTCATTTCACTTAGCCTAATACCCTTGACTTCCTTCTATGTTGTTGCAAATGGCAAGATGATAGTCCATTGTATATATACCACATTTTCTTTATTCATCCATTTATAGACATTTAGGTTGTTTCCATATCTTGGCTATTGTAAGTAATGCTGCGATGAACATGGGGGCGCAAGTTAGTGTTTTTGTTTTTGAGAAAGATACCCAGAAGTGGAGTTGCTGGATCCTAGGCTAGTTCTATTTTTAATTTTTTGAGGAACTTCCTTATTGGTTTCCCTAATGGCTGCACCAATTTACATTCACATCAACAGCGCACAAGGGTTCCCTTTTCTCCACATCCTCAACAGCACTGGTTACTTCTTGTCCTTTTTGTATCACTCCTCCTGAATTTATTAATTGGAATTCTGTCTGTAAAGAACTCACCCTCATGGACTAGCTGAGTCTCCTGAAATTTAGATTCTGCAGGAAAAAACATTATCCATTAATTTTCTTCCCCTTTAATCAATTTTCTGGATAATGATTTGTGCTCTAACAACCTCCCATGATAATCAATGTTTCTCTTTATAAAGTATCATTAAGAACTTGTGGATCTTAATGTATTTGTTTCAGTCCACTGCAGTCACTATTCTTTCTGATGCTCAATTTGCCCTTGTCTCCCGTACACTATTTCGAAGGCCCCACTAGCGCCTGATACTTTTTTGCTTTCTGGTACAAGATATTCAAAGCTTATCTTGTCCATTCGGGGCTTCGGA